CTTCTATGGGCACATTGTACATCCCAAAGCACTTTCTTCTACGGGCAAGTGTAGCACCGCAGTTTGTTAGGAGGTGTGTTGGAGTCTCCTCTGCCTCTTTGCAGAATCTGGATGTGCTGTCTTGGATTATTCCAATGTTTTTTAAGTGTCCATGTAGCTTGCAGTGTCCTGTTAAGGATCCTATTAGGATTCGCAGATTATTCCTGCTTCCTTTGATACATTCTGTAATTTCTTTTCTTCCGAAATTTGTTAGGAGATTCTTGGATTGCCTGTGCCCAATGAGCGAATTCCATTGTTCCTTCATTTTATTTTTGTCCTTCTAAGATACACATTGATAGTGTGGGGTTCCTATGGCACAGAAGGTTTAACTTGGTAAGCATACTAATCTTACTAAGCTTTTTGGGTCACTGAGTAATAACAACTAAATAGCAATGCATGTCTAAATTGACCAAAATGGTAAGAGAACCAGAAATGACCGTTGGATTAGTCAATATTACGACTTGTTGAATTGACATGGGTAGCAGTTTTCAAATATACCGTTCATCAAATAAAACCCTATTTAGCTACTGTAGCTATTTTAGACTGTCAATAATTAAAGGAAAATATTCAAACTGAACTAACATCAAGATACCCCATCTCAATTATTTTTACTAAAATTATCGACTTTATCACTAAAGAAACATTTATAAATAGTAAAATTATAGTTCATAGAAAAGTTTATATGTTATACAATTTTCCATCTAATTCTTGTGAGGTCAAAATGGTCTTGGTTATTATCTTCCGGAGACCCACATCAACATGTCCTTGGGGAATACTTCGTTTATGATTAAAAGATAACCGAATTTCAGGTAATGAAAAAACCACGCAGAGATGAGTTTCTCATGCCTATTTATAGCTAGCATTGTCCGTTTTGTCGGCTAAGAAATCAACTCGAACCCCGTCGTTTTTGTCGCGTTTCTCCCTTCAATCATGTCGTTTCCCCGGCAATCAAACCATTTAGTCAACGAGGCCCGTCTGAAAAAATTGCTGCCTCTGTTTGCCTCTAAGAATTTAAACAGATTGTCCTCCTTCCTTGTTATTAAGACGTAAATTTATACGGTATTAATAGGATTTGTTGAAGGAAACAGCATAAAGGAAACCTGGCAATTAAGTTGAAAGCTAAATACAAATTTCAATAACTTTTGACTTTTTTCTCTTCCTCATCTCTTTCTCATTAAACATTAATAGCAGTAATCTTTATGTAAGGTATTGGTTGACATAAAAAAGTCAGTGTCACGAGCCGGATTCGAACCCACGACCTTCGGCTAAATACGCCGCCGCTCTACCACTTGAGCTATCGTGACTTCGATCCACTTTTTTATCTCAACCAATACCTTACATAAAGATTAATTAATTGAAAGAAGGTACTTGGTCAATTGGACCACGAAATCTAAGGGATTTAATAAGTAAAATGAAGTATATCTTCACTAAAGCTCTCCGTGGCCATTTCATTTGTCGCCGAGAATCAAATAGATTACACGACATTTGAAAAATGGCAGAAAGGTGGGTTGAGGTAGGAAGTTGGTGTCCGATAGCTCAGGTGGTAGAGCAGCGGCGTGTTTAGCCGAAGGTCGTTGGTTCGAATCCCACTCGTGACACCGACTTTTTTATCCCAACCAATACCTTACATAAAGATTAATTAACTGAAAGAAGTTATTTGGTCAATCGGACCACGAAATCTAATGGATTTAATTAATAGCAAGGTTTAATGTTCCCGTGTGTGTTTCGGCAGTTTGTTTATGTCCAGTGGATGACCGCGTGTTAAGGTCGTGCTACACCGTTTGTACATAGTTGCTCATAAATAAAAACCTTATCAGTAACATAAATTTGCATTGCGGTTTCTTATTTTTCATGGCATAACCTACTTGATCGACATGTACAGTTAACAACCGCGCAAAGTTGTGTCCGGTCTTGATTCGACAGATCTGTCGGCCCTTTGTTGATTTGAACATGAACTATTATTTTATGGTACTTGTACTTTGGTCCTACTAGTGGCCATCCTGTAAACTCATCCCTTCTAGTGTTTTGAACGCAACTTCCAAGTATTTTATCTTTTTGCATTTCATTCCCACTGTATTTTTATTACATTTGCGCGAAGCAAGCTCAACCTAGCTAATAAAACGCTGCAAGCTAAAAATGAGCTATTACTCATACGACCTCCAACCTTGTAGATGCGGTACAAAAGCTTTTTACATGCATCAATAAATCCTCCTGGTAGAGGAAAAGCCCAAAGCTGAAGAATACAGACGGAAGCCCTTGACAAAGCTTTCGGATCTTCCAAAAGCCTCTAAAAAAAGCTAACGAAGAGATCTAAATCATAAGGAAGATTGCACAATAGACTAATATTGGTCGAAAAGAGGCCGATTCCTTTTAATCTTAACCTTACATCAACAAATATGAATCAGAGAAACTAACCGTTTAACCACTTAGCTAAGTTTAATATAAGATGATAGGACTACTGACTGGAAACTGCCTCCGGAAGCAAGTGTGTAGACTCGGAGAAGCAGAAACACGCCAGTGCAAATATTGGCAGGAAGAAGAAGAAACTGCGGATCATGCCGTGTATTATCCAGTAGGAAGGTTGTGCTGAGATTCCTACTCCTGGATTGTAAAAGCCAAGGATTGAAAGATACACAGGTCCTACCTTAGGATGCAATGCAAAAGGTATTTTAGATATATGGACAAATCCTCTTAGGATTAAAAAAAAAAAAAAAACAGGCCTGAGGAATACACACGAGTCCTTCCAAAGCTTTGGTATCTGATAAAAAGCCTTAAACTTAACGAAGGGCTTTAGAGAATAAGGAAGATTGAACAATAGACCAATATTGATCGTGAAGAGACCTTTCAACCTTAACCTAACATCAACAAATCTATATGGATATGAGAAACTAAACATGATGATAGTAAAACTGCTAATTGGACATCGCCGACTCCAGAGAAAATCTGTAGGCTTAGAGTAGCGGAAATAAGAAGAAACTGTGGAACATGTCCTCTGTTAGAGAGAAGACAGGCTGATTCCTACTCCTGGAATAGTAAAAGGCAAGACTTGAAAGATACACACGAGAACCATTAACAAAGCTTTAGAATCTGTTAAAAGCCTTAAGGTTAAGGAAGAACTGACAATGGTGGAGATTGCAGAATAGACCAATATTGGTCGCGGTGCGGAGTCTTGAAGATTCTGACTACCAAAAACCTAACCTAATTTCATAAATTCCTTATGACTAGTACTTTTTTTCGAATTCAATTTTCAAATCATTTGAATTTATATGCAAGGAATTGTCTCAATTATTTAATTTTAATGAACAGGTATTCTTTCTAAGGCCATGGCGTAGGGTATGGGGTTTGTTCACTCGGCAATCTTTTCCACTTTAACGTTAAGTTAAGTTCAAGTTAAGAACAATCCCAGTTAAGCCTTTTGCATTTGGTCTAGTTTACTATTTAAACGGTTGTCTTGATTCAGTATCTGGAAGGGTCAATGAATCCAAGGAGTGTCATTGCATATGCCCGCCAGGCCTGGAATTGTATTTATGTTGCAGTTCTCTCCTAATTACTCACTTGCGTTGTAAAGTTCTTTTCGGGTTCCTTTTAAATTTAGTTCGGTTTTTTTAATCTTAGGCCATTTTTTTCGATAAGCCATCTGCAATACTGTGCCAATTTCATCCCAAACAGGACTAAAAATCAAACACCTTTTGCCAGAAGAGAAACTAATAATAGTTATTTCTAAAACCATTTCAAGAAAACGTATATATGGATTAAAGAACCGACCAAAGAAAACCTCGATATTCACTGTCTTATAAAATTTCCAATTTTAAGTGAACATTTCATCAAAAAAATAATATTAAAGATTTTACCTTTAACAAGTGTTTTCTTTATTGATAGTTGAGCAATAACATTATCGGCATAAAATTGAGAAACGATGTTTATTCAATGAGTGAACTGAAAATCTGTGCAAGGACAATTAAAGGTTTGCCAATAAAATTATAAACCTTGCAAACAAATATTGAATTGTCCCCGTCATTAACTTAAAAAATTGGCGTGAACATTTTTGGGATCTTAATGTCTCGCTATTTTCTACCTATATAAAACACGATTTTACGACCATGCTGAATCGTAAGCGCAAAAATTAAGCAAGAAATAGAAAGAAAACCCGATAAAAATCGTTCACAATTATTTTTTTCCGACATAGTTTTCAATGGGTACGACCCAGATGAGTCGATTGGCTCTAAGAATTAAGCCCATGCGACCCAAAATAAACGAGAAAAACCGATAAAACCTTACACGATTTTTTCTCGACATATTGTATAGTTTTCAATGGATACGACCCATATGAGTTGATTGGCTCAAGAATTAAGCTCATGCGACCCAAAATAAACGAGAAAAACTGATAAAACTTTACACGATTTTTTTCCTCGATATGTTTGTATAGTTTTCAATGGATACGACCCAGATGAGTTTATTGGCTCAATAATTAAGCTCATACGACATAAAATGAGCAAGAAAAACTGATAAAACCTTACACGATTTTTTTCCTCGATATGCTTGTACAGTTTTCAATGGATACGACCCAGATGAGTCGACTAGCTCAAGAATTAAGATCACACGACCCAAAAACGACAAAAATTCGACATAATTTTTATTTACTTGCTGATTCGATCGCCGTTAGAATTAAGTTTGTACCTCGAGACCGGACCCGAGTTAGATAATGAAATTATAGTCAAAATAATTCAGATCCCGCGTGTAATTACACCTTCGAATCCCTTCCCATCTGGCAATTCCATGTGAAGCACTTAGCTAAAGGAGAATTAAATGAGAACGAGGTGAGCATCTTCCCAAGGATTGACTAGACTACCCCGAAATGAGAGTACCAGAGCCTATCATAGACCAAATAGATTCATGTTTTCTTCACATTTCTTGCATGTCTATGTTTTGTAAAAAAAATATATATGAAAAATATAGCTAACCTCGCAGTGGTTGCGGTTTTGTCGAGAGGATCGAACGACGAGGGGCCGATTTACGTGCCAGATTCGACTTCTCTGCCGAACCGACATTTGTTCCTGTCAATCAAAGAAAACAATTAGCGAACAAATAAAAAATGTTAATCTTATAAATAAACGCTATGTCAAATTATGAACAAACATGCCTGTTCTGTTTTAAAGAAACTTAATATTTGAAGCTTAAAACTAGTTCAGTGAACTTTAAATATATGTCTGAATTCAGACTGGTACTGGGCAAACATCCATTTTCTCTTCACAAATTTAAAAGAACAAACTACGAATGATAAAATATGATAAAAAGCAATGGATTATCTTATAATGGATATGTTTGATTATAAAAAACATCGATCATAATAATTTCTTAAGTATCATTCAAGTCAGGAGTAGTGCAAATAGTATGTATAAACAGATGTGCCAACCTCTTGTAATCCTAACGACAGATACTGTGAAGCCCAGCACGACAGTGAAGCAGGAGAAAAAGAAAAGCGCTGAGCCGAGCATCACACAATTTTCCGTCCCGCGCAAAAATCACATTTCGACTTTGTTTCAATCTGGCACGTCCAATTTGTACGTCTGATCCTAAAGAAATAAGGACAGGCATTGCCGGGGCCAGGTGAAACGAATCCCCACCAGGCCTGGGGAAGATTTCTACTCAACCTGCTATCTCCAGATGCTTACTCTCTTCTAAACGACTGGCAGTGGAAGAATAGGCAAAAGGCCGATTGCTTTTCCTCTTATCTTATTCGGATTTAACAAGTGCGAGCCCTTGAAGTGAACACTCGTGCCATATTTAAATAATCTCCTAATGGAAGCGATTACACGTTCCAACTCCTAAACGATATGCTAAACATTTGATCTTTCAATTAACAACGATAATACGATCTTTGTCAATTTTTAACTTGGTCGGATTTTGACAATTAATGCCAGTCATCTTTTATAAATTAACTTATATCGTTGTAGAAGAATCTTTCGTTAAGGATTTTGTGAAAGAGGCTACACACAATTTATCAAACTTAGTTTGACCATCTCGGGTGAAAACTATCAAAAACTTGGAAGCCAATCGGCATTGTTTGGCAAATATCACATTTATATTAAGCATAAAGTCGACTCCCCAATGCTCCAAAGCGATCTAATATCAACATAAAGATTTTTTTTTTAAATAAACACGATACAGTTTTTGCGGCGTCAGACAGGAAAAATGTAAATAGTTCGGCCTTGTATGATTGATTAAGTGATTATGCCCTACCATCCCAACTAAATTCACCTGGCAGGCCACAAAAATTATAACAAAGATGTATATGGCTAATTTATGTTTATTTAAAAATTATATGAATGATAATCATAAAATATACTGGATTTCAATTGTTCAACTGGCCAGTAAAATGAATCTAATTAAGAAAGAAATTTCGTTTTAGTGTTTTTTTTTATTAATTTGTTTCTTTGTCTGTGAAATTATTTTGTTCAGTATGTCTATGGTGTGTTGTGTAATCGTTTGAGTGTTTTTTGATTTGCTTGATGTGTATTTTTGTCTTCTTTTTTTATTGTGAGTTAGTATATTGTGTGTGTTATGATGATAATAAAAACCTTAAAACAACTAGAACTATAAGTATATAACAATAACAAAAAATACTGGATTTCTTGTACAACTGGCAAGTAGAATGAAACTGGTTGGAAAAGAAGTCTAAGTTCTAGTGTTTTATCATTTATTTGTTTCTTTTTCTGTGAGCATATTTTGTTAAGTTTGTCTATGGTGTATTGTGTAATCGTGTGTGTTTTTTGATTTGTTTGATGTGTATTTTTGTTTTTTTGTTTTGTAGTAAGTGAGTATATTATGCACTACATGTGTTATGATGAAGTTGATTGTTCATGAAAGAAGTCTAAGTTGTAGTGCTTGTTTGTTAATTTACTTGTTTCTTTGTCTGTGATCTTTTTTTTTTAAGTGTGTCTATTGTGTGTTGTGTAATCGTGTGAGTGTTTTTTTTCAATTTGTTTCTTTGTCTGTGAGCTTATTTTGTTGAGTATGTCTATTGTGTGTGTAGTGTAATCGTGTTTTTTTTTTAATTCGATGTGTATTTTTGTCTTTGTTTTGTTGTGTGTGTTATGATGAGAATAAAAACATTAAAACCCCTCGACCTATAAGCGTATGATAATAATAAAATTTACTGGATTTCTTGTAGAACTGGCCAGTAGAATGAATCTAGTTGGAAAAGGAGTCTAAGTTGTAGTGCTTGTTTGTTAATTTACTTGTTTCTTTGTCTGTGATCTTATTTTTATAAGTGTGTCTATTGTGTGCGTTGTGTAATCGTGTGAGTGTTTTTTTATTTGTTTGATGTGTATTTTTCCTTTTTGTTTTATTGTGAGTGAGTGTATTGTGTGTGCTACAATGTGAATGAAAACATTAAAATAGCCCGAACTAACAAAAACTAAACAAAAAACGTTTCAAGTGGGTTTCTTTGGCCTACGAACCAGAACAACGGGGAAAAATAATACATGCAAATTAATATCAAAATTAAATACAATTTTGTTTAGAAACACAAATGACCCTGGCATGGGTCCCAGGGGATTCGGGGAATAGAAAGAAAGACAGACCTTTTCCCCTAGAACGAAAAAAAAATGTGCGAAAACAAACAAAAATTCCTACTTGGGCAAATCAGAAAATAAAAACAATAGTCTAAACCTAAAAAAAGAGCATTGGGGGACCAAAAATTACAATAGATGTTAAGCTACCCACCAGAAAAAACATAATTAATCTTTTAGCTTGATTTGAATGCAGAATTCGAAAGCGGATCTTGTGGTTTAATTTTTGAAGAATCGGCCGCTGATTAAAAAAATCATATATTCTACATGCTTGCCAGCACAGGAGTACCCTCTTCAGCCAACAATCGATTCTTTCGACTGAACAGATGTATCTTCAAAACTCCGTTTGATTATTGTTCCTCTTGTTTGTGAGTGATTGTGTTGAGTGACTGTCTGAGGGTGAATGAAGTTGTGTTGTTGTTTTGTTTGTGGGTTGGGTGTGTTTATTTATTTACACATACGAATCAAAGACTATTTTCCTTATAATAAAAAATACGATGAACGAATAGTACAATTTAAGTCACAAACAAAATTAATAATTAAATTAAAAAATGGCATACACATTATAAAATGTGATTCTCTACAAAATATAACAGCCTTTATTTTATCCTTAAAGACATTGAAAGCTACATTGAAAAAATCAATATTTTAAAATTTGGACAAAATTCTGTTCCCTTCTCTCATTAATCTAATTATAGGGGAATAATATCGATTGGATTTCGTTGGACAGGGTCGAAAATTGAAAGAAATTAAAATACGAGGTGGGGACAATCTATTAGACCATTTACTATTTTATAAAAAAACACAAAAGTGATGTGGGTATGTTTGATTGTGAGATATTTATGGTTATTTGTGTGAGAATTTGTGAGTAAGGGTTGTGTGTGTTTGTTATTTATTTTGTTTCATTGTTAGCAAGTGGGTGAAGTTATGTTATTGATGTGCTTCTTTGTATGTGTTGTGTGTTTGTTTGTATGTGGGTATATATATTTGATGTTCGTTCATTTGAGTGTAAATGTGTTCTATGTGTGTTTCTTTGTGAATTTGTGTGTTCTGTGTATGTGTTTGTTATTTCGATTGTCCGTTTCTGTGTAAGTGTGCTCTATGTGTATTTTGCTATTTCGTTTGTTTGTGTGTGGGTATATGTATTTGATAGTTCGTTTGTGAGTAAGGGTTATGTGTGTTTTTTATTTGCTTTGTTTGTGTGTAAACGTGTTCTGTGTGTGTTTTTGCGTGTTTATTTCTTTTGTTTGTGTGCAAGTGAGTTCTGTGTATGTGGTTGTTATTTCTGTTATTTGTGTGTATGGTTGTTTGGGTTTTTGATTGTTCGTTTGTGATTTCGTTTCTTTGCGTGTAAGTGTGCTCTGTGTGTGTGTTTTTTGATACTTAGCATGTTTGTTTGTAAGTGAGTTGATAAGGTTATTGTATGTGATTGTATATACGACTATCTAGGCATCAAAATTTGACTAAATTCACTAATTTGCACGATACCGTTTGTTATTTACATCACAAATGGTCCGATAAACTTGGTGCAATTACAAAAGCAAAATAAACCCCAAATGATTGTTTAATCATCAATTAAATACTGGCCTTTTCCATAAAGGAGTAAATATTTAGTCAAGGAAACCTAAAATGGTGGTTTTACTTTTATCAACTCAGGTCTCTCCCAAGGAAAATGTTTACCTCTTCAACCTTAAATTTAATTTTACAATTGAGCAATTTTTCCGATAGTACTTAAACAAATCTACACCTAACTCAGCTTTAATGTAAAACTGAGAGATGTAGTTTTGAACAAGTACCTTCAGCAAGAAAAATATGTTAACATCTAGAAGTATTAAAGGAAAAGTAACCAATACAAACGCAAAACAAATTTAATGTACACAAAAATTTTACATCTGAATTCGAAAAATTTCTTCTAAAAGTATGTAATTGTTTCTTGTAAAACTATGTATATTTGTAAGTTAAAGATTTAATTAAGTCATAGACACTATTCATTTGTTTTTATTGTAAAAGCAAAGATTGTGAATTCTATAATTAGCTATAATTATAATTATTACAATATAAATTGATGTAGGTAAATTTTAATAGAAGTATGTAAAATTTAATAACAGAGATGAACTTAAGAAAAAAATCCCATCTCCAAGGAATAAAACGCAATAACAGATATTTTTTGTCCAAAATAAGGAAAAAACTGAATATTCACGATTATTTTGAAATAATCAACAAACTGTATAAAAAATATTTTGGCCATAGATAAAGACATCATAACAAACTAGATACTACTGTATTTTCACATCAACCGTTGAGGTTGTAAAAGTATGTCAGTTTCTATTTATTCATTTTAATTAGTTAGATATTAATTTTCTGAATTTCATTGTATTTTCGCAGTAGAAGTAAAATGATATATATTAGTAAAGCTTAAAGTTGTAAATTAACAAGATCGTCTTTTGAAAATGGCAACAACCGAATTTCTACAACTAATTTGTATAAATTGCACCCTTAAAAATAGACGACTATTAGAATACAAATTATAGATTTTCGATTTAAATCAAGCTTAGAAATAATAACAGAAGACAACTAACTGCTTGGTAAGGCAAACGTGATTTATCTTAGTTTCGTGTAAGCTCTTTTTTTCTCTTGAACAAAGCTCAATTTGATTCTAGTTCACCGCATTCATAGAATTTTTAACAGAGCTTATCACAATCATCCCCAGGACTAATCGTAAATCGCATGATAATTTTAAAAAAAGGACAAATCCAAACTTTTTAAGATCAAGGATTAGTATTAGTAAGTTGTTAGTTCTCACCGTTAGATGGAGACTTGGGTGATTTTTGTTGCGGGGTCTGCAATTCGGAGCCGATGCTCGGCTGTGAACGTTTCTGAGCCTGAGAAGCTGATGAATTGGTCGAACCGTCGCTCAGCGGGCTGCTGCACCTCGGCTCCCTTTTTTTGCTTGATCCTGTAAGGTTCAATTAAATTAATACACATTAAATAAACAGCCTGGATAATCAACAATGGGTGAAAATGTTATTATCAAACGTTAAACAGAATTTTGTGATAATGTACTTGCTTTACGAACTTTTTATAGCTACGTTAATTTGTTTTTAGTCACGTTGTCTCCTGAAATAAAAACGTTCTTTTTAATTAATTGTTCTTTTTATGTTAAGTCTTGGTTGAGGTGAAAAAGCTAGTGTCACGAGCGGGATTCGAACCCACGACATTAGGGCTCAATACGCCGCTGCTAACCACTTGAGGTAGGTTGAGTTGGGGAGTTGGTGTCCGAGTGGATCGAAGTCACGATAGGTCAAGTGGTTAGAGCAGCGTTGAATTGAGCCGAAGGTCGTGGGTTCGAATCCCACTCGTGGCACTAGCTTTTTCATCTCAACCAAGACCTTACATAAAAAGAACAATTAATTGAAAGAATTAATTTGGTTAATTAGACCACTAAACATAATGGATTTCTTTTTAATACTAACTGGTCTTTTGTTCCTACTTATGGTTAGTGTCAGCCCGAAACAGCGAGAACAGGCAGACCAGAATGAAACGACCCAATTCATGTCCAACCTTTTTTAAAAAGATAGTTCCTACTCACAGTTGTTTTCAACGATCCGGATTTCAAGCTCATTGGTCATCATCATGTTGAAGGAGTTCTACGACCTGACGATGACCTATGAGCTTGAAATCCGGATCGTTGAAAACAACTGTGAGTAGGAACTATCTTTTTAAAAGGACTGAACAACACACTCCACCATTTATCATTTCTATCAATTCATGTTCATCCGAAAATATCAACGAGAAATTCCACAACTATTTCAATATTTATTTCTACAGCAAAATCTAAAAATGAGGAAAAGTCGCTTCCAAATTTAAAAACTTTGGCATTTTCTGTTTAACTCGATGACCTCGCTAAAACCATTTTTTATTTATTTTACATTACAACTACTTTCATGTGTAACAAGTAACAGTGAGTGTATAAAATAGAATGAATAAACAAGAGTGAGAAATTTAATTTTGAGGTTAGCTTCAATAACATTGGAAAGAAGAGCCCGCGGGCCTCGTCATTTTAGTCGATGAGGAGGGTTGGAGGGAATTCCTCGGGATGAGTTTTTTTCATTTGAGGATTTAAGCTAGTTGTTGGGAGGTTTGTATGAAGTTAGCGACAAAGGCAGTGGATTCACCTCGGACAAAAGTGTTCGTTGACACATAAAAGAAACAAGAATTTTTCTGAGGATCATGGATTTGGCTGTTTGGATGTGCTGGATATTGGAATGTTTGGCTGAACCTCACACTTCCAGTCCCGTAAGTCCATTTTGACTTCAAAATGGTATTATAAAAGAGCATTTTCTTTAAGAGAGGTAACAGCATTTATCGGGAATTCGTATTTCCACTCCATGTCATACGTTTGTCAAAATATAGTCCTAGATACCTCACCTTGTCCGCAGTTGGGAGAGTTATTTGATTGAAGTAGACCTTGAAGGGATCTTTTTGAGGAGAGTGAAGGTTATGTGAGTGGATTTTTCAGGTTAAATTTTAGTCTTTTTTTTCACACACCATGTCTACAGTAGTGTGAGATGATCATGAGTTTTCGAGTCGAAATGTGTGGATCAGCATTACTTGCAAGTTTCTCTGTATCGTCTGCGAGTTAGAGAACCTCGCGGCTATCAAAGCACTAAGTTCAAACATCATTAGGCGTGAGGTATTATTATTATTTCTATTTTAGGTACAAAGTCACCCTCTGCAGTGTCCACATTGGATTAGAAGGCAACGAGATTCTTCCCTTAAAAGGGGCTGCTTCCGCGACCTGAACCCTTCTGTGGCATAGGAATTCACTTTATCAATGAGTACCTTAGACAAAAGAGCAAAATGAAAATGAATTAACGGTAAATTCACGCAGTCACAAACAATCCAAGAAGTTATCAAATTTTGGAAGGAAAGAAACAGAATGCATCAAAGGAAGCAGGAAAAAATGCGAATCTTTCGGATTCTTAACAGGACACGGCAGACTGAACGGGCATCAGTTGAAGATTGGTATAACTCAACACGGCACGGGCAGATTCAACAAAGCAGCAGATGAACATCAACACACCTACTAACAGTGGTGCCATGCTTGCCCGCAGGAGGAAGTGTTTTGGGATGTTCAAGACCGAGCCGACTAATCAAGTTCCTTGATAACGAGGATGCACAGCTCAAGGGATACAATAGCTCTTAAAGATCACCCGGACTAATACATCTCATATCGTTTGCAAAGAGTAGGCTGGTGGTTTGAGGATGGGATGGAAGGTCAGTTGAATACACCTGGTGTATCGGCGCGGCCAGAGCACTACCTTGAGGTACAGCAGCAATGAGAAGGTTTAGAGAAGACCCAATAACTATGAATTACTAGTCAATGAGGTAGCTTCGAAGGTTAAGGTAGAGGGAAAACACTATACACTAAGAGTCAAAATATGTTAATACTCCTTTTTTTTTTTTTTTTATCGAAGTCGAATGCTTTTGATAAAATATTTGGTTTCAGGGTTGCATTCAAAATCTGAAGTAAGAAACTGGATTAAATTATATTAGCTAGATATGTGTGGTGATTAGTGACCGTTAATCGATAATTATTCAGAAATCGTGAGATGCGGTCTGGTGTGATGTAGGTTTCAGAAAAACATTTTCTTTATCGTGCCAACGTTTCGATCTTTATTGAGATCATCTTCAGGGCTCAAAGTGTTTGTCTTCTGTGTAATTGTGCCATTCTTGCGTGTCGTGTTGAGAGTGCCAGAGTGGGCTTGATCTTTGAGCCCTGAAGATGATCTCAATAAAGATCGAAACGTTGGCACGATAAAGAAAATGTTTTTCTGAAACCTACATCACACCATACCGCATCTCACGATTTCTGAATAATTATATTAGCTAGCTTTAGTGTCTAAAATATTTCCTTTTAAATACCGTAAAGAATAATTTTCATGATTGATCGATCATGCTCTGAAGGATAGAATAAACGAGTGTTTTAAATGAAATGATTAATTAATCAGTTAATTAAAATAAAATTTACAGAAAAAGTTATTAATGAGAAACGAAATCGCACATTATTGGCCAAATATGTGAGGTCATTTTTATTATTATTTTTTATTAAAAAATGACCATTGAGCAAGACATAAAAACCGACCGGAAACTGAGTAAACAATCACAATATAATCGCAAAATCACCAAATCACATCGGTGAAATACCAATTCCCAATGCAAAGAAAACGTGTTTCGGGCCCAAGGTTAATGAAGTTACAAGGACAGCTTATTACGTACATTGTGTAAAGTCACACGAGTTTCCCATGGGGATAGAATTTAATTTTTACTAATGGAATATTATTTTTAGCCTCTAATGCCATTTTCTACCATTTACGCCTATTTCCCCTAGTTTCATTTCTATCCTCCACACACTTATCGTTATGGGAATAAATAGAAAGCACAATTACGTCTTAAAAAGATGTTATAGACCAAAAGCCATAAAATTAGATTCAATTGATCAATTAAAAAATAAAAAGTAAACTGTACTTGAAAGTATGGACTTTTCCCCCGATAACAGTTCGGACTTTTGGTCGAAGTCATGAGTACAAGGAGAAAGTAAAAATAATAATAGAAAATTGAACATGGTATAATTTGACCTGTGTAATAGGTCAGTTTGGAAATTTTGGTCATGCATTGAAATCTTTGAGAGAATTACATTGCGCTTAATAAAATCTTAATGCAAACTGAAATTTGGGCATCGCCCTCTCAAAATTATTTCGTGAGAGAGTTAGAGTTCCATATTAAAAGAGTTATAAAATTTTGGCGCCAAGTATCCATATTGCCCGATCACAAATTGGAGAAAATCTGCCTTCAGAAAATGACTTCTGAAATTAATAATTGGACAGTTTATGTTAACATGCTTCTTTCTTCTGTTAGCGAGGAAATTATTTGACATTTTGACCTTTATTCAGTGGATCATTCATCGCTCGATTCGAATTATAATCCCCATTTCAGAATTATTTGTTATCTGTATTTACTTATATTTATACTGCCACCTTATATAAATTATAAAATGTACACCATCGATCTTCAAAACCCTCAAGCTTAATTTGTAATCGGAATAAGTTAGAATTGCAGTACTTCCTTTTAATTTGCCCTGTTCATGTCACCTTAAGAAAAACACTTTTCGTATCTACCTCCGAGATTATGCTTCTTCGATTTATTATACTCTAAAACATTGAAAGAAGCTGTACAAGTTTAAATAATTTGAATAAGTTTGTAATTTCTGCACTAAACCAGACAATTTATTGTAGAAGAGTGACTTAATTTAAAATACCATAAAAGGCAAAGTGTAACATTGTGTTCATTACAATTAATTAAGGTTTTTAGTTGAGATAAAAAAAGTCAATGGCACGAGCGGGATTCAAAAAGTGGGGTTGAGATGGGAAGTTAGTGTCCGAGTGGATCGAGGTCACGATAGTTCAAGTGGTAGAATAGCGGCGTATCTAGCTGAAGATAGTGGGTTCGAATCCCGCTCGTGACACTGACTTTTTTATCTCAACTAAAAACCTTAATTAATTTAATATATTAATTGGTCAAGCGGACCACGAAATTAGTGAATTGTGTTTTATTTATTTTTACTTTCCTTAATCAACAGTAAGAAGATTATTAATTTCTTTTATAATTTTAATTTTAATTTTTAATTTCTCTGCACCTATTGCTGAGGTTATTGGAATTTGTTGGTAATTGATCCCGAAGGTTCGTCAATCCCCGATGTGCTGTCCCTAGGAAATACACCTACCCGGTTATGTTGCTGGGTGGCTAGTATCCCCCTTGATGCCCAGGAGATCGTGGCTTCCCGACCAACGGGGTTTTCGACAGCTAGGTCAATTCAGCCCCCAACGCATTCAAAATATCATCTACAATAATTCTAAGTTCTATTATACAGTCGCACAAATAAATACGTTCACACCTATGTACATTGGACTCATTCTGATTAGTCGGTGTAGTACTCGATATTCTCCTTCGACCTACTCACACATATTAATAATAAATCTAAATTGGGGTCGAAGCGGTACTTTTATAAATATTTCGCCATCGACCTAATGCTAATATTTCAACATCAGCCCTCACCACTCGCACTAATAAATGCTCGCACTCAAACAAAACGCATAACCACAAAACACCTAAAACTGATCTTTACGACTGGGCTACTGTGCCCGAGAACCATTCTTAAATTCGGCGGCATGACTGCACGCTCTCTACAACCACATGTCCAAAAAGCCCGCAAATATTAAACAAAACTTATTCGCATACCTGAGAAAAAGGAATGAAATCCGACAATAGTGAAGCCCTGTCTCGCGTAGAAAAGGAGGGGCATCTTATCTATAGCGCACTTGATGAGAAACTAGGAGCAAGAGGATTTATTCGTAAAAGAAAACTTCACGCGCTGATTGCCTGGCCATTTCTCCTCACCCGATAATTCTTCCATTTTAACATGCTCCAAATGTACAATGCTAAGCGCGATACAAATCATTTTATCCGGTTGGATGCGGCCGGGATTTAAAAAGAGATTCTACGTGGACTAATGTAATTTCACTTTATATCATTTTCTCGTTTCGTACATCTAGCCATTTGTTGAAAATTGGCCTTTTGGTTATACAAAATTTGAGCAATATGGGGAAAGACACAAAACCATAACTTACTCGGAGTGGACATCGTTTTAGCCTGGGATAAGTCACTGATGGAGCTGTTCCTGGAGCTAGCCTGCGATCCGACAATTGGTCCTTGGAGAGATGATTCTGAACTCCGGACCCTGGATCTTCGGCTAAAAAATATAAGAAAAATATATAATGTGTTACTACAGATAAGAACTAGTATTACCTTTCGTATCTTTTGGTTTTTATTGTCGTGATGTCTCTCAACGAACGGGACGAGATGGATTGCGCCGTCGACAGGCATCGAGTGGAGTTGGCTTTCCTACATCCATTTGCAGCCACAGGACGGCTGTTCGTTTTGGGCGGGCTGGACATTATTCCAGAAAAGACTTTGCTTTTGACTTCTTTGATCTTCGGTGTCGTCTTTTCTTGGGCTTGGTTCTGTGCGATCTTGTTCATGACAGCGTCCCATCGCCCTTTTTTGACCGTCCTGGGTACCCTGTTTTCTTGGTTTTCGTTATCGACCGTTTTTGCACTGGGTTGATTGCTCATCATAGTTTTTATCTTAGAGACAACGTTTCTTTTTGGCATTTTGAACTTTTTACCGTTAGGAGAATCTGAATTTTGCTTCTGTAAAGTGCGAGGCGTTTTGTCGGATTGGTCTTCTTCCACATCTGGAAGAACGTTGCATTCCTCCGAATTGATCAAGTTTTTAATATTGTCCAGCTTCTCCGTTATCAGTGTAGAAAAGGTAGTGGGTGAGATTTTTTTCAAGCTTTGGTCCGATTTCGAAGAAACCGTCATGATGGAACCTTCGGGCGAGGCGATCCTCTCGTCCTCGACTTCGTCGGACTTCTCCCAGACGGGCTCCTCGAATTTCTTCTCGAGATCGGAAAATATCCCGCTGGAGTCCATTTCCTCGGTGGTGGGTGAAAATCTCTGCACCTGGTTGCCCAAGGGCCCTCCCCCGGGTTGAGGTAGCGCACCGTACAGAGTTCCGTCGATCACCTGTGCACGCCTGTGTCCAGCACATTCTTCGTGCACGTCGGCATCGCTTTCAGTGAAGAAGTCCGAATCCGTCATAGGGTCCAATTTCGGTTTCGGTTTGGCGTGGGCGGAAGGCGAGTGCTCGGGGCCTCTGCTCGCGGGCCTGCTCCACTCTCCGTCGCCCTGGTAACCGTTGTCGAGGCTGGTTATGCTCGTTATGCTCGTTATGAAACTGCTGACTGGAGGTACCGACATCGTCCTCGCTTCGCTTTTTGCCTCTTCAGACGACATGTCGAGAGGGAGGTCCTCCAACGAAGGCGTTCGGTCTTGCCGGAAATCAAAAAATTCTTTTTTACTCACTTTGCTGTCCGACGTTTGCTTCGAGACGCTGGCATCGATGTCTTCCGGCTCTTTGGAAAATTCTTTGGATTGTTTGCTTTCCATTAAAGGAGAAGACAACCTTTCTTCAAGGTCGACGTCTTTTGAAGAATAGCCGTATGTTTCGCTGATCGCGTCGATGCTCACGTCTTGTAACATAAAAGAGGAGAGCTCGCCGGTCGACGGCGTTCTCTGGAGTTGCTCTTCTAAAGCACAGTTCAGCGTAAAGTCCGACATCTGGTCTGGTGTTAAAATCCCTAAACTCTCGTCCTGTTCGAATGAACTGTGTTTGCTCTGAATGGAAGTGTCTTGGATCGAATTCTGCGCCCTTGGTATCAATGAGCCCACAGAAGAGTTCAGAGAGCTCACGGTCAGTTCGAACAAAGGCAGGCTGGTGCTCCCGGGGGTCGAAATTTGACTCGAAGGTCGTGAATGCACGGAAGGGACAGTCGGCGAAACGTCGTCTTCGGGTGAGACCGCGTCCGTCAAAAGCAGGCTGTGCGGCCCAGAATCGACAGTCGATATCAAACTGACATTTCCTTCGTGCACGAAAATCCCGTGGAGAGGAGGACACGAAAAGTACTTGACATTATCCAGAGAGCCGTCGTTCGCGCCGTCCGGTTCGTCCAACTCGATCCCACACCAATTGCCCTCGCCGATGTCCGTCTTGCCGAAGTACCTGAGAATACCCGGTTTCGATCCCAGGGCGTAAACCCTCTGCCCGAGGGAATCTTTGGTTACGCGCTCTCTTATGGGAGAACAGTTCTCACTCCTAGCTCGCCAGTCGGGAACCAACGGCTGATAAAAAGCGGAAGGCCGCTGCAGAGTGCGTTTAGACCCTTTGCTTCTACTTCCCGAGGTCAAAAATCCCAGTATCGTCCCAGAAGAAGGTCTCAGTTTGGACGAATCCGTCGACAAATGGGCTCTCACTTTGTTCGAAATGTTCGTCGCCAGCCTGGAAAAAGTCTTCGTCGTTGGCTGCGCTTTGCCCCGCACGGGGATTTTGCTCTCGGTAGATACCTGCAAAAATAAAAATCACATTACAATTGTATTCAAGACGTTCTTAAAATAAAACAGAAATCGAATTTATATCCGATCGAATATAGATTTTTACCGAACTTCAAGGACAATCCAAGAGATCTCATTAAAATGTTATCGACTTTTGACCTGACCTAACACATTTTCTTTACTGGTTCGCATTTCTAATAAGGTACAAACATTCTGCATCTATTCTTAACAAAACTAAAATAATTTAATTTTTTTTTTAACTAACAAAATTTTCAAACTTCACTCTGTTTAATGAATGGAAAAGGAAATAGCATGTCTTTACGAGAAGGTTGGAATATTTTAATACATACTTGTACAAAACAATCATGAATAAAGTTGTTTTTCCTAGCTTTTAGAAAGTTGGATTTGTTATTCCTTTGTTTAAAAGTGGAAACAAATTGTTTTTCTCTTTCTATTCTTTCTCACATTCCAAACCTTTGGAAAAAATCATTACCCATAACATAAAATCAAAACTCAGATCTCCTTATCCCCCTTCAGTCTGATTTTCGTCCTGGCTTTTCCGCACAATCTGATGTCGTATATAACTTGGCTCACGTACAGAAGGCCATTCTCCGCCGTAAAATTTACAATTTTTGTTCTCTGGACTTCTCTAAAGCCTTTGATACAGTAGAACGTTCCCTTCCTGTGTCTTCCATTGGTTCCAATCTTTCCTTTCAGATCGATCCGAAGTAGTATCCAACCAAAATATGCGCCCATCCTCTCCCCAAACCATCACTTCTGAAGTTCCTCAAGGGTCAAGTATTTCTGCTTCTCTTTTTTGTTGCTAAATTAACGACATTACTAATTCCGTAAAACATTTCTCCCACTATCTTTACGTAAGGTCCCAAATTTACCTTTCTTTTCCACTTAATGACTTATAAGCTACAATTGTAAAACTTCAGGAGGGCTTAAATTCAATTAGCTCCTGGGCCACTTCAAATGGGCTTAACCTTAATTTAGAAAAGTCTCAGGCCATTGTTTGGACCTTGTACTCTCCTCCCATCGTTACCTTTTATCCCTCCGTTTACCATTGATCATCACCCTATTTATTTCTGTCCCAATGTCAAGAACTTTATGGTTGTAATTGAACAGACCTTATCTTGAAAACATATTTCCCAGATTTTTCACACTCCATCAGTTCCGCCGTGCCAGCTTCCCATTAGTAGCTTGTTAACTCCCAGTTTCCTCTTTTATAATCTCACACTTTGACCATGGACGCTGCTAGGGGACTCACGGGAGAACTGGATGGTAGATTTAAGCACTTAACAAATTGTTTTGTACGCTATATTTTCGACTCCACAAAGAAGTCCCACGTGACTGATATGTACTTTGGCTTGAAGTGGTTATATCCTTCCCACCGTAGGCGACACTTCCTTGGCTCATTCCTTTACCAAGCAGTATCTTCCCACTCCCCTCCTTATATAACCTTTAGGTCTTCGGTACACTAACGTCATACTCGTTCTAGCTCTTCCGATCTCTAACCTCCTAAACACAGAACTACTGCTTTTATTCGTATCTTCTTAATCCGTTCATCCAGCCTCTCGAGTTCCCTTCCTCACTCGATCCGCCACGCCCCTTCTCTTCCCACCTTTAAGTCTAATATATTTTGTAATTGTATTTTGTAACTTTGTCATTATAATTTGCTCTTTTGTATATGTGTTCAGCACGAGTCTACCTACAGCTCTATAATGTAGGTTTGTTACTCAAGGAGGCTTTAAGATCCAGAATAAAATTTATTTTCTTCTTGTTCATATCATCTATTTGCCATCGCTCTCAACGTGGCTTCACTTTAACAAAACTTCTTACTTTTGTTTCCTATAAACACAACTTGAAGGTGGTAATCAAGTAGATATCATCTACACAGACTTATCTAAGGCATCGAATCGACGACAACCTGTTATTGTTAAGATTTGAATTTTGGGATTTCTGGACCATTTTTGCCCTAGAACAAATAGTTTTACTAGGCAGTTACCAGTCTCAAATAATAAAAGGTTCTTCTGGTGTTCTCCAAGGGGCTCACCTTTCTCCACTCTTATTTATTATTTTCATCAATGACCTTCCTTCTAGTCTAAAATACTCCTCTTCACTTTGCTGATGCTTAAAATTTTTCATGTTTTATATCTCCAAAAATGACAACTTACTACTTTAATCTATCTTGAATCCTCTATATCACTGGTCTTTAAAGAACCACCTGTTTCTTATTATTGAAAAATTCTATTCTATTAGGATTTACCAGACAAAAATAATTCTATCTTCACTTACTTTATCATAATTCACTAGTTTTCGTGGTTCGCTTGACCAATTAATATCTTGCAATTAATTAACGTTTTTAGTAGAGATAAAAAAAGTCAGTGTCACAAGCGGGATTCGAACCCAGACCTTCGGCTAGATACGCCGCTGCTCTACCACTTGACCTATCGTGACTTCGATCCACTCGGACACTAACTTCCCATCTCAACCCCACCGTTTGAATTTTTGAATTTTGAATTGAAAAATGGAAAAAAGGAGGGAAAATTCAAAAGGTGGGGTTGAGATGGGAAGTTAGTGTGCGAGTCGATCGAAGTCACGATAGGATAGCTCAAGTGGTAGAGCAGCGGCGTATCTAGCCGAAGGTCTGGGTTCGAATCCCGCTCATGACATTGACTTTTTTATCTCAACTAAAAACCTTAATTAATTTATTCATAATATTTCTCTTCCTTTTAAAACTACTAGTAAAGACCGTGGTGTTATTTCTGACCAGAAATTAAATTTTACTGCACACATTGATCATATTAAATCTGCTGGGTTTCTTATATCGTTACTCTACTGATCTCAACCCTACACCCTGATCATTCAAGGCAATTAACGTTCGTTTTTCTTGAATGCGTGAATTTGTGAATTATTGAGGTTAAAGTGTTATTGACGCCGGAGGACTTTTAATCACACGGTTATTCCTTGAATTGCCTAAAATTAGACTAGTTTATTTTTAACGGGCGCTCGCTCCTCTGTTTGACATCTTAGGCCTATTTCTTTGCTCCCTCCTTCATTTTCTTTTATGACGATGACGGCTAGACAATTCATTATTTTAATGTTTAAAACATAATCGGCACCTGGAGTCGAGCCATGTCATTAAAATTCTGTTTTTAAAGTTTTCGTTTTAAATCATTTGTTACACTTGAATTAGATTTTTCCTTTGTACACAACGGATAAGATAAACAGACTTTGAACAATGGTTAAACCAAGGCCAGGTGAGGTTTATAATGATCAAAATTTACCAATCACTAAGGTTGTAGTTCTAATTTTGTTATAATAATCGAGAATTTATTTAGGACTTTTTTGGCGGAATTTTACATAAAAAGTGCGTTTTTTATAGCCGTGATTTTCTGTTTAATTAGATCACAGTGAACACCAACAAATGAACTGATAAAATGTTTAACAGGCTGTTAATTAATTCACCATTTTCTACTATTTTTAAATTAATCTGTACTCCCGTTACACACAAACGTTATTGCTATATCAAGGACACCGTTAAATTTAACTTAATCTTTGAAATAAATTTGTTATTTGAAGACTTTTCGCTTAATTGATTTCGCCGCTAACGCTGATTTCCCTGGGGACTTAGTACTTCAGATTGCAGTGATAACTTGCAAGCTTGTAAACAAAGACAAGGTCCACGGGAGTTATGGTATTTCTGTTGATTGCTGACGAAAATTTGGCAGGTGCTGATGACCTGATAGTTGTAGAAGCTCTAACGTATAAAGCAAACATTAATTACCGGGCGATTCGCGGCAAGTTCAGTTTAAATAGACGAAAAGTGTCCAAAACTCTATAGAAAGAAAAAAGCTTTTAGCTTAGCTTAGCAATTTTAGGAAAAACTAACAGTGTAATGTAAACAAGAAGTAATTAACCATATGCATATTCATTATAACCACATTCTACACTTGTAAAATGTTAAATATAAAATAAACAATTTTATTATATTTCTGCATAGTTGTTTTTTATTCGGAAATCGTGAGATGCGGTCTGGTGTGATGTAAGTTTCAGAAAAACATTTTCCTTATCGTGCCAACGTTTCGTTCTTTATTGAGATCATTGGCCCTGAAGATGATCTCAATAAAGATCGAAACGTTGACACGATGAAGTAAATGTTTTTCTGAAACGTACATCACACCAGACCGCATCTCACGATTTCCGAATAATCATCGACTAACGGTCACTAATCATCACACATATCTTTTTAAAATTGCTTAAAATATTATTAAAATATACATAGTTGTTTTTTTAATTGGACAATATCTCCAACAAAAAATTACTTTGTTGACTTTACCGTCATCCGTTAAAAAACACGCTATTCTAAGACATATGTGGGACGGTATTTGAGATAGCGTTCCGTTGAATCTTCAATCAATTTAGCGTTACAGATCTAACGTTATGCTAAATCTCCCTAATAGCAGTCAATTGAATAGGTTGAAAACGTATAACATTTTTGGTAAATCGTCCACTCAAAGAGATCCCAAAACTAACCCCCTGATGAGATATTTCATGATGTTGTTCTCCTATTTATTTGTAGCTGTACATGATAATGTTGGTAATGGGTTTTGTTCGACTTTTTGAAAAAACCTTCAACAGTGCTCGAAATAATCCTATCAGCAGTCAACTATCGCCCGATTTGGAAGCTTCCTCTTATTGCTAAGGTCTTTGAATGGCTGACATCCTTCCTCCAGACCAGTAAATATTAGCCAATAGCATGGATTCCGCAGATGGTTTTCGAGTTCTTTTTATGCTATTCTTATTCTTTTCTTATTACAGCTTCTGACCAAGTCGATCGTGCAATTTTACTGAGAAAAGTCGAGGCTTTTGGTGTGGGAAGCCCTCTTCTTAGGCGGATGACTTCTTATCCCAATGGTAGATCATTCTCTATATCGTTCAATGGGGTTACCTCTGAAAGAATCGAAATTGCCTCTGTTGTTCAAAGCTCCCACACTGGCGCTATT